TCCCCACCACCACCCCACACCACCCCCCCCACCCCCCAACCACCCCTCCCCACAACCCCACCCCCACCCCGGCAGTTTCCGCCCCCCACGGCTGCCATATTGGCACGGGGGGGGAAGCGTCGACTCACTGCTGGTGGTGACACGCAGAGGGCGTGGCTTAGCAAGTGACGTCATCCACAATGCAGGGGGCGTGGCTTAGCGAGTTACGTCATCCACAATACGAGGGGGGCGTGCTTAGCAAGTGGACGCATACACAATGCAGGGGGGCGCGGCTTAGCAAGTGACGTCATCCACAATACAGGGGGCGTGGCTTAGCAAGTGACGTCATCCACAATGCAGGGGGCGTGGCTTTAGCGAGTGACGTCAACCACAATACAGGGGGCGTGGCTTAGCAAGTGACGTCATACACAATGCAGGGGGCGTGGCTTAGCAAGTGACGTCATACACAATGCAGGGGGCGTGGCTTAGCAAGTGACGTCATCCACAATACAGGGGGCGTGGCTTAGCAAGTGACGTCATCCACAATGCAGGGGGCGTGGCTTTACCGACCCCCTCCCACCCCCCCCCAACAGAGCTTTATAGCTCATCGGATTTCACACCCCACTAATCCCCCACACCATGCGTAGTTGTTATTGTTGTTAATCTTTATTTTTTTTCGGTAAAGTCACGTAAATAAAAAAATAAATTTTAAATAATACTTTTCAATGAAATTTTCTTTAAAATAAAAAAAGATATTTATTTGTTTTTATTTTCTATCTAGGAGACTTTACGGAAAGAACCAAGAATATGAATGCCTGCAAGTCACGAAAGTTTTTTCGGTTAAGTCACGTAGATAAACAAAAAGATAAAAATAAATTTAAAATAATAATTTTCAATGAAATTTCTTTAAAAAAAAGATATTTAAATTTTTTTTATTTTCTATCTAGGAGACTTTACGGAAAGAACCAAGAATATGAATGCCTGCAAGTCACGAAAGTTTTTTTCGGTAAAGTCACGTAGATAAAAAAATAAAAAATGATAAAAATCAATTTAAAATAATAATTTTCAATGAAATTAAAAAAAAAAGATATATTTTTTTAAATTTTCTATCTAGGATACTTTATGGAAAGAACCAAGAATATGAATTCCTGCAAGTCAAAATGTTTTTGTTCTTGTTTGTTGTTGATATTGTTGTTGATGATGTTGTTGATGTTGTTGTTGAGGTTGTTGTCGATTGCACATGGCGGCCCTCTGGCTTCACGCGCCCGCCGCCTACGTCACGAGGCGTGTCACGTGACGCCGGGGAGCGGTGGCGGTCGTGTTGGGAGAGTTCCTTTTTAGCTGAGAGACACGGGGACAGAGAGAGACACGGGGAGAGACACGGAGAGAGACACGGGGAGAGATACGGGGAGAGATACGGGGAGATACACAGAGAGAGACACGGGGAGAGACACAGAGACACGGGAGAGACAGCGGACGCTGTGGGAGTACGCGTCACCCAAGGTGAGACACGGGGAGAGACACGGAGACACGGAGACACGGGGGGAGACACGGAGACAGACACGGGGACACGGGGAGAGACACGGGGACACGGAGACACGGGGAGAGACACGGAGACACGGGGAGAGACACGGAGACACGGGGAGAGACACGGAGACACGGGGACACGGGGAGAAACACGGGGACACTGAGAGACACGGGGACAGACACGGGGAGAGACACGGATACACGGAGAGAGACACGGGGACACTGAGAGACACGGAGGGGCAGTAACTTTATTGAGGCCGGAACGCGGAAACTCAGAGAGCAGTGGGGAAGTCGCGTAGACACGGAAACACGGAGACACTGAGACGCTGAGAGACGCTGAGACACGGAGAGAGACACTGAGACACTGAGACACGGGGACACTGAGAAATGGAGACACGGGGACACTGAGACACGGAGAGAGACACTGAGACACGGAGACACGGAGAGAGACACTGAGACACTGAGACACGGAGACACGGAGACACGGGGACACTGAGAAATGGAGACACGGGGACACTGAGACACGGAGAGAGACACTGAGACACGGAGAGAGACACTGAGACACTGAGACACGGAGACACGGGGACACGGGGACACTGAGAAATGGGGACACTGAGACACGGAGAGAGACACTGAGACACGGAGAGAGACACTGGGACACTGAGACACGGAGACACGGGGACACTGAGAAATGGAGACACGGGGACACTGAGACGCTGAGACACTGAGAGAGACACTGAGACGCTGAGACACGGGGAGAGACACTGAGACACTGAGACACGGGGACACGGAGACACGGAGACACGGAGACACTGAGACACTGAGACACGGAGACACGGAGACACTGAGAAATGGAGACACGGAGACGCTGAGACACGGAGAGAGACACTGAGACACGGGGAGACACTGAGACACTGAGACACGGAGAGAGACACTGAGACACGGGGAGACAGAGACACTGAGACACGGGGAGACAGAGACACTGAGACACGGAGAGACTGAGACACTGAGACACGGAGAGACGGAGACACTGAGACATGGAGACACGGAGACGCTGAGACACGGAGAGAGACACTGAGACACGGGAGAGACACTGAGACACTGAGACACGGAGAGAGACACTGAGACACTGAGACACGGAGAGAGACACTGAGACACACGGAGACACACACTGAGAGACACACACTGAGACACCGAGACACAGTGAGAGACACACGGAGACACACACTGAGAGACACACACTGAGACACAGTGAGACACACACGGGGAGACACACTGAGACACACACACGGGTAGACACATCACGATGTCTCTCCGGCCGCGGGACGCTGTGGAGGAGATGACCCCACAGCAACAGCAGCAGCCGCTGTGGAAACGTGAACTCCTGGACCGCAGGAGGAGGAAGGGGGTGCCCGACATCTTGAGCCACCACCTTCATCAGCAGCAGCAGAAGCAGCAGCAGCAGAAGCAGCATCAGCAGCAGCAGAAGCAGCAGCAGCAGAAGCAGCATCAGCAATGCCAGAATCAGCAGCAGCGTCAACAGGAAAACCACCACCTCCAGCAGAAGCAGCATCAGCAACATCAGCAGCAGCATCAGCAGCAACAGAAGCAGCAGCATCATCATCAGCAGCAACATCAGCAGCAGAAGCAGCTTCAGCAGCAGCATCAGCAGCAGCAACATCAGCAGCAGCAATACCAGCAGCAGAATCATCATCAGCAGCAGCAATATCAGCAGCAGAATCATCATCATCAGCAGCAGCATCGTCAACAGGAAACGACCACCACCAACACCACCAACATCAGGACAACCACTACGTTCACCGCCACCATCACCACCACCACGATGACCACGATTCGACGGGCGCGTCGGATGGCGCCGGCGGTGCCAGCGAGGTGCTGGTTCTGCAGGAGAAGCTCCGTCCGGTACGCGAGAACCCCTTCGTGACGCGCGAGCGAGACCGGCGCTCCACCGCCGGCGGCCTCGCCTGGGCCCGGGGGCCGCGCGGGCCTCTTCGCCGGCCCAGGACCCGCTGCTGGAGCTCTACAGCCACATCCCGGGCATCCGCACCATCCGTGCCGACAACATCATCATCATCGAGTCCGACCCGGACTACTACCTGCAGCGGACTAAACCGGCGGTGCCGGCGGCGGGTCGGCCGCCGCTGCCAGCGCCGGCGGCCCTCCGGTCACGGCCACGATCAATGCCCGGGAGGTCCTGGTGATCCGCGACGGTCGGGACGACGGTGAGGAGGCCCGTTCGCCCGCCGACAGCAACGACTGGGGGGGCGGCTTCACGCTCCAGGGCCGCGTCAGCAGCCTCCTGTCGAGGTTCGACGGGCCCCGCGGCCGCTCCAGGGAGCCGGCAACACGTGGGGGCCGAGGCGGTCGGCCAGCGCTGACGACCTGCTGAGGGGGGCGACGACGAGCGGGGGGGCGGGGGGGGGTGGGACGCCCCGGGGCAAGCGGCACGGCTCGCCGGACGGGGCCCCGCGCGCTCGCAAGTCCGCCACGGTCGCGGCGAGCCGCCCGCGTTCTCGGCCGACGTTGCCGCCGCCGCCGCCGCTGCTGCTGCCCGCCGCCGCCGTCGCCCGGCGGGGGCCGCTCGGAAGGGTTTCCTGGCCAACGGCGCCACGGGCCGGGAGCCGGGCCTCGTCTCGCCTCGCGACGGCGCCGCCGAGGAGGGGCAGCCCCTTCACGCCGCGGTCAAAGAATTCGTTCACCGTGCACCCGGAGAAGATCGCCGGCCTGCACCCGCCGGCCGCGTCCGCCGGGAACGCCTCCCCGAGGTCGCCGGATCGGCTCAAACCGTCGCTTCCCGGCGGTAGGCCCGGGCCGCGCGGTGCCGGTTCGGCGACGAGGCCAAAATCCCCGACGGTCCGGAGCTACGAGCTGCCGCGGCCGCCGCCGCCGGCGTCGCCCGCCAAAGCGTCGCCGCCCGCAACGACCCAGGGCTCGAAATCCTGGACATCCACCTCCCTCGGCCTCCATTCCACCTCCTCGTCCTCGGTGCGAGGCCCCGACCCGCCGCTGTTGCCGTCGCCCACGGCACGCGGCCCCCGCGTCCTGTCGGGGCCCAACTTTGAGATCCGTCCGGCGGTACGACCGGACCGGCCGACGTGGCCTCGTCCGGGGACAGGCAGGCGCAGGCCCTCAACATTCTCCGCCGCGAGTCCGGCTACTCCATCACCGTCATCCCCAAGCCCCGCCAGCCCGCCGGGGGGCGGCGGTCGCCGCGGCCGCCGAACGGACCGCCGACGCGCGGGCAGGGAGCCGATGCCCGACTCGAACCCCGGGCCGAACGGCAAGTCTGCGCCGACAGCTGCCGCCCCGGTGCCGGAATCGCCACCGCCTCCTCCCCTTTCTCCCAGGCCGCCCGTCGTCTCGTCCCCCACCTTTCGGCGGCCGGCCGCCGCCATTCCGCCCCTGCCGCACCGCGCGCCGCTGTCACCTCCGTCGGGCCGTTCGGCGTCGGCGTCGGCGGCCCCTTCGCCCGTCCCTCCGGCCTCCCCTCCGCCCGCCAGGAGCCCCCTCGGGCCTTCCCCGGCCTACGCCGCGGAAGACGCGGCGGGACGCGCCGCTGCCCAAGTCGAACATCGACGACGTGATCCTAGGACCGGGACAGCCCGGGCATCCGCATCAAGCGGCATCGGCAACAGGGCATCGGGGGGTGCCACCATTACCAAGGAGCCGGGCAATTCCTACCGGATCACGCCGGCGCCGCGGAAGCCGGCGGTCCCGGACGCGGGTCGCGCCGAGGTGGACGCTGGGACGCCGACGCCGAGGGTGTTGGAGAACACCCACACGCCGCTCGGTCAGCTGGTAAAGAAGCGGTTCCCGCCGGCCGACGAGATCGAGGTGATCGGCGGCTACCAGCGCCTGAGCAAGTCCTGCCTCCTGTCCGGTGCCCGCAACAAGAAGGTGAGAGGGGCGCGACTTGGCACTGCAGCCGCATTCACCCCATGCCCAGCACTGCAGCCGCACTCACCACACACAGACTCACCACACAGACTCACCACACACACACCACTCACTCACCACACAGAGACACACAGACTCACCACACACAGACTCACCACACAGACTCACTCACCTTACAGACTCACCTCACAGAGACACACAGACTCACCACACACACCACTCACTCACCACACAGACTCACCTCACAGACTCACCACCAGACTCACCACACAGACTCACCTTAGACTCACCTCACAGAGACACACAGACTCACCACACACACACACCACTCACTCACCACACAGACTCACCACACAGACTCACCACACGCCCACCACTGCAGCCGCACTCACCACACTCACCACTGCAACCACACTCACCACACTCACCACACTCACCACTGCAACCGCACTCACCGCACTCACCGCACTCACCACTGCAACCGCACTCACCACACTCACCACACACTCACCACTGCAACCGCACTCACCGCACTCACCACACTCACCACTGCAACTGGACTCACCACACTCACCGCACTCACCACACTCACCACTGCAACTGCACTCACCACACTCGCCACACTCACCGCACTCACCATACTCACCGCACTCACCACACTCACCACTGCAACTGCACTCACCACACTCACCGCACTCACCACACTCACCACTGCAACTGCACTCACCACACTCACCGCACTCACCACACTCACCACTGGAACCGCACTCACCACACTCACCACACTCACCATACTCACCACTGCAGCCGCACTCACCACACCCACTGCAGCCACACTCACCCCACGTGCTGCATCGCAGCTTTGCACGTCCAACTTTGCAGTGTCGCTCACCAGGTGCAGTGCTCATTTAAGGCCGAGCCGACCTAGACGTGGGAGGGAGGATGGCCCGGGGCGGGTTGCAGGGTTGGTGGGCCGCAAACGGGATTCGAGTGTTTGCCGTGGTCTTGGCAAGTTGATCCTTGATCGAAGGGGGCTTTTTGAGATTTGCCGACACGTTCGCAAAGAAATGAATGAAAAAAAAAATCTTGGCAGTGCCGAGCCAAAGTATAACCAGTTAAAAACTAAGTTTTTCACTATAAATCCTTTATAGCGTGGCGGCTAGAGTCCTCTCGTCCTCTGGCTTGAGATGGCTGCCACCTATGGGTCAGATGATTGCCTGCCACCATTAAGCAATTGGTAATTAAATATTATTTATTTTTTCCTAAAAAGTGTAAAATTTTGGGAAAAATTTTTCACGAACATTAATTGTCACGCACAACGAGTCTGTGTGCAACATGTCGGCTCGATTGGATCACGGGAAGTGGGTTAAAAACGACCGAAAGATTTGCACGGTCGAAAGCAAGCAAACTTAATATAAAGGATTTAAAAATACATGGATTCACAATCAGTTCACAATAAATTCGCAAGAAGTAAATTCCAAATCGGTTCACAATCAATTCACAAGAATATAACTTCACAATCAATTAATTCACAACTTGGCAGTGCCAAGCCAAAAATAAATCGATTCACAATCAATTCACAATACATCAATTCACAACTTGACATTGCCAATTAAAAAACAAAATCAAATTTACAACCAATTAATAATGAATTAATTCACAACTTTAGCAGTGCCAATTAAAGCATAATGAATCAATTCACAATAAATTCACAATGAAATCAATTAACAATTAATTCACAATGAATCAATTCACAATAAATTCACAATGAAATCAATTCACAATTAATTCACAATGAATCAATTCACAATGAATCAATTCACAATGAATTCACAATGAATCAATTCACAATTAATTCACAATGAATCAATTCACAATAAATTCACAATGAAATCGATTCACAATTAATTCACAATGAATCACTTCACAATGAATCAATTCACAATCAATTCACAATGAAATCAATTAACAATTAATTCACAATGAATCAATTCACAATAAATTCACAATTAAATCAATTCACAATTCATTCACAATGAATCAATTCACAATGAATCAATTCACAATCATTCATTCACAATGAATCAATTCACAATGAATCAATTCACAATCAATTCACAATACATCAATTCACAATCAATTCACAACTGTGGCAAGTGCCAAGCCAATATTTTGATTTAAAGCTTTCGTGACTGCAGGGATTCATCTTCTTGGTTCTTTCGGTAAAGTCACGTAGAAGGGAAGTAATAAAATAATAAAAATAAAACATAATAGAATTATTCTCACGACGTTTCGGCCACAACGCAAGCAGCCGTCCTCAGGTGAAAACCAGGTCCGTCGAAGCGACACATTCAGACTCTGTCGCCTCGACGGACCTGGTTTTCACCTGAGGACGGCTGCTTGCGTTGTGGCCGAAACGTTGTGAGAATAATTTTATTATGTTTTATTTTTTTTATTTTATTACTTCCCTTCTACGTCATGACTTTACCGAAAGAACCAAGAAGATGCCAAGCCAATAGCAAATTGAACAGCGTGTCCACCCACCCACGTGGTTCAACGGCTATTTAGTAGGCCACAGAGACGCCGCGGCCTTGCCTAGATCGCCTGCCGGCTTTGTGCGAGCGACCCCCCGCCCACCACCCCACCCAGGGGCGGTGCCCTCCAGGCTGGTCGGGCTCGTGTGGGCGTCTCGTGGTGATGGTGGTGGTGAGGTTGTTAAGCCATGATGAGGTTCAGCGAAGATGATACTAACATTGTCCACAGACTAACATTGTCCATAGACTAACATTGTCCATAGACTAACATTGTCCATAGACTAACATTACCCATAGACTAACACTGCCCATAGACTAACACTGCCCATAGACTAACATTACCCATAGACTAACACTGCCCACAGACTAACACTGCCCATAGACTAACACTGCCCATAGACTAACACTGCCCACAGACTAACACTACCCATAGACTAACACTGCCCATAGACTAACACTGCCCATAGACTAACATTGCCCACAGACTAACACTGCCCATAGACTAACATTGCCCATAGACTAACACTGACCCATAGACTAACACTGCCCATAGACTAACACTACCCATAGACTAACATTACCCATAGACTAACACTGCCCATAGACTAACACTACCCATAGACTAACATTACCCATAGACTAACACTACCCATAGACTAACATTACCCATAGACTAACACTGCCCATAGACTAACACTACCCATAGACTAACATTACCCATAGACTAACACTACCCATAGACTAACATTACCCATAGACTAACACTACCCATAGACTAACATTACCCATAGACTAACACTACCCATAGACTAACATTACCATAGACTAACACTACCCATAGACTAACACTACCCATAGACTAACATTACCCATAGACTAACATTACCCATAGACTAACACTACCCATAGACTAACACTACCCATAGACTAACATTACCCATAGACTAACACTACCCATAGACTAACATTACCCATAGACTAACACTGACCCATAGACTAACACTACCCATAGACTAACATTACCCATAGACTAACACTGCCCATAGACTAACACTACCCATAGACTAACATTACCCATAGACTAACACTGACCCATAGACTAACACTACCCATAGACTAACATTACCCTAGACTAACACTGCCCATAGACTAACACTGCCCATAGACTAACACTACCATAGACTAACATTACCCATAGACTAACATTACCCATAGACTAACACTACCCATAGACTAACATTACCCGTAGACTAACACTGCCCATAGACTAACACTGCCCATAGACTAACATTACCCATAGACTAACACTGCCCACAGACTAACACTGCCCATAGACTAACATTGCCCACAGACTAACACTGCCCATAGACTAACATTGCCCATAGACTAACACTGACCCATAGACTAACACTGCCCATAGACTAACACTACCCATAGACTAACATTACCCATAGACTAACACTGCCCATAGACTAACACTACCCATAGACTAACATTACCCATAGACTAACACTACCCATAGACTAACATTACCCATAGACTAACACTACCCATAGACTAACACTACCCATAGACTAACATTACCCATAGACTAACACTACCCATAGACTAACATTACCCATAGACTAACACTGACCCATAGACTAACACTACCCATAGACTAACATTACCCATAACTAACACTGCCCATAGACTAACACTACCCATAGACTAACATTACCCATAGACTAACACTGACCCATAGACTAACACTACCCATAGACTAACATTACCCATAGACTAACACTGCCCATAGACTAACACTACCCGAGACTAACATTACCCGTAGACTAACACTGCCCATAGACTAACACTGCCCATAGACTAACACT